GCCCTGGATCACTTCAAGGAGATAGGGAAGGAAGGGTAGAAGAGGAGCAGGTGGAGATTCCGATTGCACCCTTTTAAACACCGGTTCTTGTACTGCCTTGGAAGTCTGCTTGACCTCCAAGCCTAGGGCATCAGCCATGCGAGCCATTTGATCCACAAAGGCTCGAACATTGTCCGTGGGAGATGGTGGATCAGCCTCATAAGTGTCGTGAGTGGGTGATCTCTCGATCCCGAGAGATAACACCAATCCCGAGTGTACCGATCCCGGTAACTCGCCATCTTCCTCTTCATCATCGGCAGTGACGGACTGGGGAGGAGGGGATGAGGAAGCATCCCGACTCGGACGTTGCGGTGGAGCCGTTGGAGGGGCTTTTGAGGCCGAGGCCTGAATGGCACGGGCCAATCTCATAGTCTGTCTGCCCCTTTCCGGAGTCTCCATCACTGGAGAAGTCTCCTGTCTTGCCGTCACAGTTGTCAAGGCCGACACAGACGGGAAGAGCTCCTGTCTGGCTGTCACATGTCGAGTTGGTGCCTCAATCACCGTGTCCACCGAAATCACCGGGGACGCGGGCTGTTCCAACGGCGGCTCTGGCAACGGCTGTGGTTCCCGAGCGGGCTGAACGGCCGGCTGGGGTTGCGGCGATGACCTCGCTGACGAGGTGGCCGAGGAGGCGGTGGTCTGCTTTCGGGAAGAAGAAGATGATGAGGATGGAGGCGGCATCGTCTTCTTCTTCTTCGCCGGCGGCTGTGTTGTCTTCGAGAGAGACTTGCCCGGGGTGGGCGGGACGGAGGATGAGGTGGAAGCACGCCGAGATTCTTCTTGAGACCGGCGAAAGGCGATGCGAACCACCGTGGAAGATGGCGGAGTCACCGATGTCGACCTCGTGGACCTAATCGATCTCACCGACGCCACCGAGCTGGTCGAGGAGTGTCGAATGCGTACGGTCTCAGTCGTGACCGTGCATGGAGCCTTCTGCTTCGTAGGCTTTGCGGCCTTAGAAGCTGTCGACACCGAGGCCTTAGAGGCTGTCGACATAGCTGCTCTCGGTCTTTTCTGTGCCGCCTTTTTCGCCCTTGTCTGGCGAGGTTCGGCCTCAGTCGAGGGATCGACGGATTTTGATGTCGATGCCTCCTTCGACGTCGATGTAGATGTCGATGGCCTGGATACCACAGCTGACGTCGACGCCGATGTCGATGTTGAAGGTACCGGAGCCAACGTCTGCTGGTACAAGAGGTATCGAAGCCGATAAACCCGGTTCTTATGGGACTGTGCCGTCAACGATTGACAATGACGACACGAAGAGGTGATATGTGCCTCACTGAGACACAAAAGGCAAAGAGCGTGCTTGTCCGAATCAGGGATCGTCCTCGGACAATTCGCGCATCTTTTGAAGCGAGTTGTTGACATAATATTGTCGAACAACTCGAAGAAGCTCTATCCAAAAATTGCTAATAGAATCTCTATCCAATCACAAGTAGAAGTATCGAAGCGAGCTGTGCGGCGGAAAAAAAGGAATTGTGTCGGTATGTGCGGGGCGCCCTTTTATCCCCTGCCGGGGCTGGGCGGGGTTACCGCCAAAACTTGAAATGTTTAAACTGTAGAAGTTGTTACAGTATATGATTTTGTAAGTCTTGACAAGAATCATCTCTTGCTTATATGTGTGTGTTGAGGNTTCCGTTGGAGCCCGCGCAGGCGCAGTCTCTCCACAAGTGTGCATTCGCAGAGACCACGAAGAAAAATGAAGAATGCAATAACGTTCACATTCAATTAGATATCTTTACACTTCAGCATCTTGTTTAATTCCTTCATAGCTGCACTTTGAAGTCCTTCTTCTAATTTCTTGACTGCAATCTCCATACTGATTAATGACTGTGCCTAGGTATGGAAAATGTTAAACTAGTTCCATGTCTTCTTTGTGTACTTTAAACTTATGGAAATCATCTGTGGTCATTATTTTTGTTTCAACTGTAAACCTGTCTTTTCTTCTCTGACTATCTCCAGTAATTGTTTCAAACCTTTGCTAGTTCTACCTCCCATCTGTATTTCTGTCTAGATAACAGCTTAGAAAATTACTGGAATTAAACAGATTTGTAGTTTCATTTTGGTAAGAAGAGATGCATATGATTTCAAGATGTTTTGTATGAATTTGTGGAGACCTATGTTGTGAGTCATATTAAGCTAATAATGTGAGCTGTCTGAAGCCTTTTAAAACAGAAATCACATGTCAGTATTGAATGTACTGTCATATATACATATATAGAATTCCTGTATATGTAGGTTTCCTTTGAACTGTAACATTTGAACCTATTGGGGACCAAGATCAGCAGAACTGTAGGTGAGCATTGCCAAAGATGAAATATCCCTCTGAGTAGATTGAAATGAGCATTCAAGAATGAGCATACGAGACAGACTAGAAACCAATTGAGGAAAGATATTGAAAGCCAGAAAAGTAAAGCCAGAGTTTTGCCCAAGGCAGGAACCAAGTCTCACATAGAAGTATAGCTAGGCCAGAACTGTATGGAACAGTAAGCTTCCTTGATTTTGGATCATGTTAGAGTTTTTGAAGTAGAATATTACTGATTCAGTTTTCTGTCTCAAGTCAGCTGCCAGTGATACTAGTGAGCCACTAAAAATTTTAGTAGGCAGAATAAATGGATTGAGTATAAGTAATCATTTGTTATAGAATGTTCCTTCTTATATTAAAAGTAATGTGCATTTATGTCTTTGAGCATATGCTTGTGCACCCACCCTCTGTTGAAGTGAAGAAAGCCCTTGTGGGTTTGTTCTATAAAGAACACCCTAACACTGACAGGAGTGTAAATTTGTAAAATCATATCACTAGAAAATATGTCAAGACATATTAGCTTAACTTCTTGCACTAAGTAAATAAATGCATAAAAGAATATGTTCATGTAATTTCCTCTTCAAAATGATGAATGAAGGATGATACAAATATATGAAGAAATTACCTTAGCTTTTCAATATTTGGAGTCTTTTATGGGTGTTTTAACAGACTTTTCTGAATCCTAGATTGCTCCAGATATATTATTTATTGTATGTCATACAAAATAAAATCAACTTAATTCTCAAAATTCCTTGTTTTCCTCCCAGTTAATTTCATTAGAATTAGAATATCCACCTGCTACTTCCAGTCCCCAGCTGGCTGATTCCAGCCACAAGGGGAGGCAAGGAGTATGCGAAGGTAGGAAATATGACTTTCCATGTGTGTTGTAGACAATGACTAAATATTCTAAATATGAACTGAGAAGAGTTGCATTCTTGTCAGTTTAGGGCAGCTGATAATAAGATAGCAGTTTCTACAAAATTAAAAGATGGGAGAGGGGGAGAGACAAAGTAAAAATTTGAGATAATACCTTTGAAAATATTCTTTGATAATAGGGCTCATTTGAATGGGTTACACAAAAATAAGCATCTATACAGAAGAAATGTGTGTCTTTTGAAATAAAGTGTTTTCTGCTACTTTCCTCTCTCTTGCAGGTGATCAAGTAGCCGTGTACTCTGACCTTTCTTTCACAACTCCTCTTCGTGATGTTGCCTTTCATCCACATGAACATATGGTGTCATTCTGTGCCTATGGTCAAAACCAACCAATACTCGTGTACATTTATGATTATAGAGGTAATTTATAGTCTGTATCTATACTCAATATTCAACAATTGCAGACCAGAATGTTCTGACAGAAAAAGGCAGGAAGATGGTCTTTGAGCTGTTGGTTTCTAGTGGGATTCAGATCTCCACTTTTAGTTGTTGTGTGCTTTCAACTTGTTTTCAATTTATTGTGACCATAGGGCAAACGTATCATGACAGGGAGTTTGTCTTTGCCATTCTTTAAGGTTGAGAAAATGAAGGTTTCCATGGTTGAGCAGGGATCCAAACCTTTGTCTCCAGATTTGTACACCATCGCTCAAACAACTGTATCACATTGGCTCCACTAGAAAATATTTCTCTGAAATCCACATACTTTTTATTTCTCTTTCCTAGAGTGAAGAGAAAAAGGAAGGAAGACACACACACACCCCACAGCCATTGCTTGGCAGAGAGGCTAAAGCCAGTTTGCTGAGCATTGGCTGAAGACAGAATGTTCAGTTGGGCTTTTCCAGCAAGAAAGGTAGATGAGGGAGAGTGGGGGCTTCTTTCGCTTTTGTCGGTGATGCTGACTGAAGAAAGGAAATTAGTGACAAAAAGGCCAGTTAACACTAGAATCCTGTCTATGTCTGTCAATATAAAATTTGTATAAATCTAAAATAAATATACTTCAAAAAATTAAATTAATTCAAAGAAATTTGCTTCATGCCTCACCCTTCAACCCCACAAATTTCCTCTTTCCCAGCTGGAATTGTGACAGTTTTATTTGCAGAAGACTCAAAAAACACTCAGCATTGTGAGATACTGCTTGAGAGTATGGGCCCTGAAGATGAAAAAAACAGTGATGTGGTTAGAGACAAATGGATGATCGCTTAGTACATCCCGGCAGCCAGCTGTGCTATTTACTGTTCAGGCCCTACAGGAGCATCTTGCCAAAGCCACTTTCTCTTGTTTAATGTGCTTTTAAAACTTTTCTGCAAGACTGGGCCTGCATTTATTGCAAGCTGCATTTTCCTTTTTGTAGTGCATTGCTTTGTCGATTGTTTCAGAAATAGACAGAAATAACTTAAGGAGAAGCCAAATTCATTTAATGCCAATTAAACATAAAAGCAGTATTAGAAGCAGCTGTAAGAATTGAGAAGGAATAGAGGAAGTTATTGTATTCTCACCAGTAGCCTTTATTGGTAGTGAAACATTATTGAAATAAAACAATAAGAAGTGTGTTTGGGAATCAAATCAAATCTAGGTTTCTCTTTATATGACTCAATTACAGTAGGGACCTAGTTTAGATTTAAATAACAGTTTATCGTTATAGGGCGGGATACAAATAACATTATTATTGTTGTTATTGTTATTGTTATTATTATGTGGAGTTTGGCTGGCATGAGGCAAGTTCGTTGAAGTCAGCAGCAGAAGCTAAGATCAGACGTTTCTGGAGATAAACTTACACCACCATGAAATGGGTTACTTGTTTGGTATTTTTACAACTTCAACATGATTCCAACCTATAATGACTTTGCCAGGCCTTCTTCTAAGCTTCAGAATGTGTGATGTGCCAAAAGTCACTCAATAGGGTTCCATGGCTGTGTGTAGATTCAAACCCAGGTCTCCCTGAGCCTTCAGCATTTAAATCACAGCATCATGCTGGCTCTCTGTGCCTAATCTATATATATAGAAACTTAATTGATGGTGTGTGCATATTTTAAACTCTTTCTGCAAGATCAGTAGTCCATTTTCATATCTTCTCTGCATCAGTGTTCTGTAATATTCAGCAATATTTTATGAATGAATCAAATTAATACTCTTCATTGTTTTCCCTTTGCAGTTGCCCAGCAGGACGTTGAACTGGTAAAAGATTTTAGTGGACTACATTTATCCACATCATCCAGAGGCCCACAAATTCTTACTGGTATTTCTGCACAGAAGGATACAATAAATCATCCAGCGGATCAATTTGCAAGCGTTGCAGGAGTATCAATGAGGATGCAGAAAGTCAAACAAAAACTAGATTCTGTTACGGTATGGTTAAATTTCTTTGTAATCTTCTAAAAGACTTGTGTCTAAAGTAGATCTACCTTAACATTTTATCATGTGTCTGTAAAGGAAATTAGTATTGATGAACAAGCTATATGCAGTTATATATACAACAGTATTTGGGATGAATTAATGAGGCCAAAAAAGCTTTGATGAAGAACCAAGTTTTTAACTTGTGGCCTACATGAAATGAATGTTGGTGCCTCCAAAGAGAGAATATTCCACAATGGTAATGCCACAGCTGAGAAGGTCTTCTCTCACACCCCAGTACAGTGTCTTTATATCTCACTGGTGGGACACAAAGGAGGGACCCCCGCCCCAGTAGACCTCAACCTTCGAGGGGCATATAATGGGAAAGGCACTCCCTCATCATTTATGTCACAAGCAAATTAGGACTTTTAAGTGCATCACAAGCAGCATGAATTCAGACTGGAAACATATTGGAAGTGAATGCATTTCTTTTAAAACTATGGTATTCAACTCAGCAGTTGAGTGGCTTTATTTTGCACAGACTGCAACTTCTGACTCTTCTTCAAGGAAAGTTCCATATAGAGCACATTAATGTCATCTAATTGGAAGGTTACCAAGGCATGGACTGTTGTGTCTGGGTTATCTCCATCCAAGACAAAATGTTGCTGACTCAGTAGTCAAAGCTAGTGCCCAGCATTTTGAACCAGAGATCTACTTGAGTCCTAAGTGATAGGGGCAAATTTAAGAATACTCCCTAAGTTATGCATCTGTTTCTTCAAGAGGAGGCAATATGTAAAGCAGACCTGATGGCCTACCCACCCAGTTCCTGGACCTGAGAAATTTATTGGTTCTCATCCAGCTCTAAATCCCGACAAGACACAGAATTTGCCTGCATTGTCCCAACTGACTCAATAACAAGGAGAAATAGAAGCCCAATAGCACTATTAATATTTATGCTGTAGTGTTGAAGCAGCATCCACTTTTGAAGAACATGGATTTTGGCTCTATGAATTTCTGTTGTGATCTTCCAAGACCTTTATTTTAAATACTTAGTCCAAAAAAAACCTGCCAGTGATTCTAAATTTTTATATGTAAACCTAACCTGATAATTATAATGTAACAAACCTTGGGTGTTTTCCCTTTCCTATGCAAAAGCAATTATCCCCAATGGAACACAATTCTATGTTAATGTAACATGTGAACAAACAGAATCAGTATCTAGCACTATAAGAATATAATCCTTAGGGAAGAAGGCTTATTAAATGAGGCTAAGTTTGGGGTTTATGATGTCTCAAGAAACATTTCAGCTTGTATGAAGAAGTTCCTATAGAGTTAAATCCAAAATTATAGTAAGCTGTGTGAGAGAGACAGAAGAATTCAGCAGGTTATTATCTAAGATCAATACAACATCAAAAATGTAAGTATATATAAATACTGCAATTACTTGAGGCAAAACAAGTACATTGTGCACATCTTTTTACACCCGTCAAAGGCAAATGCATAAATATTTTAGAACTAAATTAAGACCTATGTAAACTTTGAATGAAAAAGCATAATTACAGTTTTTAACATACCTTATAAATGACAAGTGTTTATCTTATGCCTCCTGAAAGCGTGTACAATTAGGATTATCTATTGGGACTATGAATAGGCAGTGCTGGTTCAAATGCAGATGTATCCATGCTTTTATAAAATAACATAGTTGTGGAAATTTCCATTTGCATTTATTTGACATTGTTGCAGATTTTCATTCTCATAATAATGTTTAATAAATGACATCCACTTCTGCTTTTCTTTTCCCCCACTACCTTTCCTTTATGTTTGAAAACATTCTTTTTAAATAATAATGTTAATATTCTGTATATACTTTATAGAAGTCTATTCAAAAGGATACTCTCTCTTTTTTATCATAACAGTAATAACATTTAATAAAAGCTTGAAGTTTTTTCTCTAGTTTTTATTGTTTCCCCAGTTTTTCTGCTATGGATTCTAGTATTTCTAGAAAACAAATTTCAGCACTCCAGTGTTCTTGGAATTGGCACTGAACTGTAAGCCCATTTCCCAGCGTAGGTATATAGAGATTCTCACTGACTGGACGAGCACTTCAAATATAATTGCTTTTGACCCATTTGAGGTGAATCCAGATCTGTGAACTGGTCACACTTGAGATCTCTTCCACAGCCACAGTTCCTCTTCTTATTTAAAAACAAACAAAACCATTTACAATTGCAAAGGGAGGGGTGACAAACAGCAGGCGCAAGCTGGAAGCCAGATTTCTGGTACACCCCAACAGGCTCTAGAACTATAATTAGAAATATTGTTTCTTGTATTTCTTGCTTGTTGGAGTCCCATGTGATTTTCCTTTTAGGGATCAGAACTATGTTCCATTATTTTATTGAAAATTACAGTTGTCCCTGCAAATTTGCGGTTTTGATTTTTGCAGATTTGATTATTCATGCATCCAATTAAAAAAATCTTCTCTAGGAGTCTGTAGTGTAACCCTTTGGTCAGCTTCCTCCTGGCATGCTGGAGAACTAAAGAGCTCTTAACTTCAATGCTGGAGTGAATCCTGTCATGTTGGATGGTCCCATTGCCATTCCATTGGAGAAGCAGATATAGCTTGCTTAAAAAGATTTAGAAAGAAACTACTTATAGCCAATTATGTGATATACCAAGACTTTATTCTAGAATAGTAGTTCTCAGTCTATGGGTGCAGATATTCAACTCCCAGAAGCCCTTGACATTATGACCAGTAAAGGATTCTGGGAGCTATAGTGCAAAAAGTATGTGGGGACCTATGGATACCATTGTATTAGCACACAATAAACTTGCATGTTCACAGTGGGAAGAGAATATTGGAATTTGGAAAGAGCTGTCTTCTGTTTGCTGAAGTGGGGGCGGGGGGTTGGGAGACATAATTGGAGTCCATCACATGACAAATAATTAGGAAATGGGTCACACTGTCATTGAAATGCATAGAAAATTTCACATACATTGGAAAGTTAGACAATTTCAAATCGGATTTCAGATTATTTCCTTCCATGAATTGGTTCTTCTTTTTGTTACTTTGTTACATGTAAAATAGCAATAAGTAAAATATTTGTATGGAGAATTAAAATTCTAGAATAAATTGTGATACCATAGGGTAAAACTAATAGTAGTCCTCCACAAAACACACCCATTGAAATTAATGTGACTTATTAGTCACAATTAACTTAGGTGGCATTGGAAAGGAGAAAGTCCTCTGGTAGAGAACAATAGGGTATTTAGTTCTGTATTTAGGATTAGTGGTTTTGCATGTGGGACTCACTCCAGCATTGCACAAAAAAGATTGCAGATTTTCTTTGAGCTGACAATTGTCAGCTTCATCATTTAGTGAAATCACAATGTAAGAACTGTTTGTTTAAGATGAGGCTGCCTGAAATGGATAGAACATCAAAAAGGAATCTTAAAAAGAAAAGGATAAGGCACATTGCAGCCTAATTTGACTTGCAAGTATATATGAAAATTTTGATTTCTTTTTTACCTGTAATGGTCACAACACTGAATTATTAAGGAAACGCCAGAGAAATTGTTTTCAGCTTGCTGGGTCTTGAGCTCAGTTTGGATTCTCTTTATTTTTAATGTGCATTTCACTTTTCTTTGCATGAAAATTAGCCCCATTGAAAATAAGTATTTGCATAATTTACATGAAGCTGCCATAATACTAAAATACAAGAAAGAGGATGCAAATCAGCTTTGTTTAAACTTGGCAGAAACTGTGGGCTTCTTTTTTGTGACTTTTTTATCTTTTAAAAATACACATGGACATACATTTTATGCACTTGTAAATTTACTCAACCCTGGCTTTGTAGTAAAACTTCGGTGATAGAACAGCCGTTTTTGTGTTAAGCAAGCAAAGTGTATTGTGAAAAAAATGAGTTGATTAGTGTTTGCTATCTTAGCCAAGCTTTACTTATTGTTAAAAAGGTGTTTAGCAATCCCTTCCCACAGCCTGCATTTCAGAAATGGTGATTGCTTCACTGTAGTTGTTCTATAGGTATTATTACATGCTACCAAAATGAAAGAGTTGGAAAAGTTTAATTTAAAAAAGACAGTATGTGGACCTAAAGCTTAGGTTTTATCTTGTCACAACTGGGGATAATATTAACCTTAATCAGCATATAGTATATATATCTTGTTTAGAATTCAAGCCTGCACTTTCTCAGGATACTCTCGGGAATTGAAGTTTTGTCTCTTGTAGTAGATGTATTTTGGACTTCAGCTCTCAGAATTCCTGACCATTGAACAAACTGACTAGGATTTCTGGAAATTGGTAGCCCAAATGCCTGTAGAGTTACAGGTTGTGCAAGCTTTATTTAGATATAGCACATTGTCTGGTGAACAGCTTGACAGCATTGTGTAAACATAAGCCATTTCTACTGTTCCATGGGGGGGGGGGCGGGATATCATTTTCTCTCTCCTCCCCCTGCTGTACCACCATGACATATTAGGTGGAAATCTGTCATGACAGGCCCAAACTGTGGGACCTATCTCAGTTTTTTACTAGAGGCGCCCAAATGACGCTTCCGGTAAAAATTCGGAATAAACCAGGGGTCAGTCTCCACTGCCATCCCACAACTCCTGGGCTCTCGCGGCGCCTACCCCCTCCCATAGCCCCCCGATTTCCCTCTAAAACTTACAAAAAACTACCCTTGCCACAGTAAAGCCTCTCCTTGCGCCCTCCTGGTATGAGGAAATGATGCCAGAGAAAACCCGGGGCGGGAGGAGGGAGAGATTTTCCTCCTCTCCCCTCCCATCTTCTCAAACGTCATTTTCTCACACCAGGAGGATGTGAGGCTTTATGGTGGCAAGAGACTTTTTTTGTAAATTTTGCAGGGGAAATGGGGATCTTCAGGTTGGTTTCATGCCATCCCAATTTCAATCCGGATGGCATGAGCCCCCCCCCCCCCCCCGAAAGCCTGGGGTTTGGGTGTGAGGGTGGCTACTTGCCATCCGGATTGAAATCAGGCTGG